AACTGGATCCTGGACTTCCTGACGGGCCGCCCCCAGGTGGTAAGGGTAGGTAACAACACATCTGCCACGCTGATCCTCAACACGGGGGCCCCTCAGGGGTGCGTGCTCAGTCCCCTCCTGTACTCCCTGTTCACCCATGACTGCATGGCCAGGCACGAGCGACTTACAGTTAGTGAGTGCATACATAATTTTTTTTTATTTTTTCATACTGGCCCCCCGTGGGAATCGAACCCACAACCCTGGCGTTGCAAACACCATGCTCTACCAACTGAGCTACATCCCTGCCAGCCATTCCCTCCCCTACCCTGGACGACGCTGGGCCATGGGTCTCCCGGTCGCGGCCGGCTACGACAGAGCCTGGATTCGAACCAGGATCTCTAGTGGCACAGCCTTAGACCACTGCGCCACTCGGGAGACTCCCTGTTCACCCATGACTGCATGGCCAGGCACGACTCCAACACCATCATTAAGTTTGCCGACGACTCAACAGTGGGAGGCCTGATCACCGACAACGATGAGACAGCCTATAGGGAGGAGGTCAGAGACCTGGCCGTGTGGTGCCAGGATAACAACCTCTCCCTCAACGTGATCAAGACAAAGGAGATGATTGTTGACTACAGGAAAAAAAAGAGGACTGAGCATGCCCCCATTCTCATCAGCGGGGCTGTAGTGGAACAGGTTGAGAGCTTCAAGTTCCTTGGTGTCCACATCACCAACATGGTATCATGGTCCAAACACACCAAGACAGTTGTGAAGAGAGCACGACAAAGCCTATTCCCCCTCAGGAGACTGAAAAGATTTGGCATGGGTCCTCAGATCCTCAAAAAGTTCTACAGCTGCACCATCGAGAGCATTCTGACTGGTTGCATCACCGCCTGGTATGGCAACTGCTCGGCCTCCGACCGCAAGGCACTACAGAGGGTAGTGCGTATGGCCCAGTGCACCACTGGGGCCAAGCTTCCTGCCATCCAGGACCTCTATACCAGGCGGTGTCAGAGGAAGGCCCTCAAAAAGACTCCAGCCACCCTAGTCATAGACTGTTCTCTCTGCTACCGCACGGCCAGCGGTACCGGAGCGCCAAGTCTAGGTCCAAAAGGCTTCTCATCAGCTTCTACCCCCAAGCCATAAGACTCCTGAACAGCTAATCATGGCTACCCGGACTATTTGCACTGCCCCCCCACCCCCACCCCATCCCCCTCTTTTACGCTGCTGCAAATCTGTTTATTATTTATGCATTGTCACTTTAACTCTACCCACATGTACATATTACCTCGACTAGCCGGTGCCCCCGCACATTGACTCTGCACTGGTACCCCCCTGTATATAGCCTCCCTACTGTTATTTTATTTTACTGCTGCTCTTTAGTTATTTGCTTTTATTTTTTTACTTAACACTTTTTTTATTTACATTGTTGGTTAAGGGCTTGTAAGTAAGCATTTCACTGTAATGTCTACACCTGTTGTATTCGGCGCATGTGACAAATAAAATTTGATTTGATTTGATCTAAGAGGATGTATTGTAGTGCTGGGTTGTGTGTAATAATCAGAGGTGTTTGCTGTTTAAACATACGTCTGGTCTGATTAAGCTGGGGACGTTCTGCTTTCTTAGTCTTCTTTGGCTCTGGCTTCCTTTGCACCACAAGCTCTAAGTCTTCAGTCAGTATTTTCAACAGTTACATCAGATATTTCTTACTGATGGTAGGGTTGATTGTAATCTCATCCACCAGCCGGCTCTCTCTCTGTGGAGATGTCTGGTTTCCGATCGAATGGGACTTGACTGGAAGTCTATGGCAGGAGTGGACAAAACAACCACCGTTTTTAATTAGCTTATCTCACAGTCCATCAACATCTAGCATAACCCCTAGAACCTCCCCTATGGATTTCAAAGTGAGAGCAGCGCAAGTGATTTAGGCTAAACAAATGAGTTCGGGAAATCGGAAAGTATTCATCTTAGAAATAGTTTTCACATATAAACTTTATATGTCTGAAGGCAGAATCCATTGGGCTTCCCAAAAATAATATGGTCGCTGTGATAGAAAATGTATTTTGATCGCCGATTTTCAGCATCAACCTAACCTCGTCCCCAGGTTCACCCCAGACAGATCTGCTTCAGCTTGCCCTGCAGGGTGTTATTTTTGGTGATCTTGAAGTCTTTTTCCAGGATGGTGCGGGCCATGTGGCGCAACTCAGGGTCGGTGTCAGTCAGGGGCACCCCCAGCATCACCAGGTCCACGTCTTGGAGCAGCTCCAGGGCGGCCAGGTTCTTCCAGCTCCCCAGCTGCCTCCATGAAGGCTCCTGCCCCCACACTTGGCTCAGAAGCAACACCTTAATGAGTTGAATAATCTCAGAGTTAAGGGTATGTGAGTGTGAGCGGACCACCTCCAGCAGGGCGGCACTGTACTCCTCATAGCTGTATTTATCTGCCGGCTCCAGCTGGTTCAAGATGGGGATGATGATTCTCTTCAGACAATCAAAATCTGAAATGGACTGGACCTCCTCCTCTGGCTCTAAGACTAGGAGAGGGTTTTTTGGAGGCATGGTGCGTCTCACAGCTTTGGATAGAATGTGAGAGATGTCTGATGTTTGCTGAAGCACATCCTCCTCTGGGAACTTCCTCTGCAGACCCTTGGGCTCAGGATAGTGGGAATAGACTCCTCTACCTTTTGGCCTTTGCCTCGGATCACTGAATTAGGAAGAAATCCGTCTGGCGCAATGGGCCACTCCAAACCATCTAGGCCTTTTTCTGAAGCCTCAGACTGATGTTTAGCCTCATCCCAGACATCAACTTCTGGCACGGTCTCACATTCCACTATGTCCTCCCACTCCACCCCTCTGACAGGGGCACGCCACTTCAACACTTGGAAACAAAGAGGTGAGCTTATCAATAAGCTGTAATAAACCTCTAACAGATTTCCGTAATAAATCTTTCAATCTTGACTAAACTGACAAAGACAATGTCCTGTACACTCACCCTGCAGAGTTACTCTGCTTGGTGTCAGGCTGTAGTGTTGCACTACAGACCTAGTCCTCCTCTCTGTCTGCTGATGCTGCTGCTCAGGCGCCTCACTCACAGTGATCACCACAGGGGGGATTGGTTCAGGCATGTTCCCCTTAGACCTGGGGCTGATCATGGGCACCAGGGCCATGTTGTAGCTGTCTGGGGAGCTGGGGAGGAAGGGGACAGGGTCCTCCAAGGCATCATCTGCTGTGGCCTGCTCCAGCACTGTTCTCAGTAATCTGACAGGCAGGAAGTGCAGGCTGGAGATGAGGGAGATGCTGCCGCTGAAGCAGGCCACGATGTCTCCCCGCACGTTAGCGAAACACACATGGCTCACCGCCGACCCCAGCCTAATTTCACTTAGCATGTTGCCACAGCAGTCCCAGATCTCCACGATCTCCCCAGGGCCAGACAGAGCCAGCAGACCCAGTTGGGGGCAGTAGTCCAGACAGGAGACAGGCTCTGCAAGGCTCCTCTCCCTCTCCACACATTCTCCCCTTGGCAGCGAGAAGAGGAGCAGGCTATGGCTGGGAGAGATGGCACACACCAGGCCAGGCAGCAGACAGGACAGCACTGGGGTGGCAGGGGCAAGGCAGTTCACTTTAGTGTTCAGGGTCAGTTCCACCCGCCCCGCCCCCACTCTGACTGACCACGCACTGAACTGGTGTTCTGTGGCGTAGCAGCATATGAGGGGTGTTGGGCCTAGGAGGCTGCTGGTCTGGATGATGGTCCCCATGTCTGCCTGGTGGACCTGGCAGTGCAGCCCACAGGGAGACAGCAACTGTAGCTTCCCACTACGATGGCCACTGAACACTAGGCAAAGTGGGGCCTGAGTCCCAGCCTACCCAATCCCCTCCACCTGCAATGCCTCCACACACATCACCCCATCACTGTGGTCCTTGGAGGTGCAGATGAGGTGCTTGGCTGGACAGGGGCTGAGAGACGTATCCAGCACTAGGACCTCTGGGGCTCCGTAGGCCACAAACAGCTCCTCCTGGCTGGGGTTGTAGGTGAAGCACAGAGCCTTGTCCAGGTGGAGGAAGGGCCATGAGAGCACCAGCAGCTCCCCATTAGCTGGAGAGAGGAGCCTTGCCACGCCGTCGTGCGTCACCACCAGCAGCCGCGCCCTGCTCCGCTCAGACTCCACCCCTGCTTAATCACCTTCAGGCCACAGCCTGTGTTGTTGAAGAGGCGGTACAGGCCGTGCAGCCGCCACACTGACAGCGTAGAAGGAGACTGGCACAGGATGCAGTTCTGCCCCATCAGTGACATGCCCCTCAACCTGCCAGGCGAGTCCACATAGAGCTTGAACAGCAGGTCTCCCCCGCGGCTCCACTCCTTAACCCAGCCCCCCACGGAGGCAGTCAGCAGGCTGCACGTGTCAGGGCGCAGCAGCACGGCGCTAACTGGCTGGGTGTGGGTGCGGAACTCATGCAGCAGGCCGCCTATATCCCGGCTGTGGTGATGCAGCGCAGCGTAGCCCGGCTGCAGCCGCGGAATGGTAGCAGCTCCCGCTGGCCCATGTGCTCAAAGCTCTTGATGTGACGGTTGCACAGGGCGTAGAACAGAGGAGGTCTGACACTCGGTCACTAGGGCCCCCACCAGGGTATCCCTGCGCAGGGAGCAACAGTTCCATCCAGCACCCTCACCAGCCCGAGGGGGGTCTGAGGGGACGTCCAGAAGCCGGTCAGCAGCTCGTTGGTCTCGGGGCAGAAGTGCATGCAGACCACAGAGGCAGGGCAGGTGGCGCGGTGAAACACGGTCATCTCCTGGGTGGTGTCAGTGTAGACACGCAGAGACAGATCACTGCAGGCCCCAAATAGCACACGCTCGGTTGGCACAAACACCAGGTGCTCTAACCGTTACTTCTTTTTCATGGCGATGCTCAAATAGTGCCTCAGCTGGCCCTGCCCATCGTCTGCCCACATATCCATCTGAGAGAGAGAGAGAGAGAGAGAGAAGGTAAGATGAGGGATGGAGGGAGAGTAGAAGGATTGGAGGCATGCAGAGGTATAATGATCACATGAACGATCAGCAGAAAGTGGAGAGAGGTGAGTGCATCACAGTGCAGCTCACTGACCCATATTCTCTCATTGTAAGACCCCCTCCCCATAGTCAGTCCCAGCAGGTGACTCACCTAATGCCTGAGCAGCATATGTCCCAACTGGAAGCCCACCACCATTGTGCCACTGCACCCAGAGAAGGTTGTGAGGCAATGTAGGTAGTTGGGGGCACAGGTGTAGTGGAACTGTGTACTTGGGGATGCATCCAAGTACAGTGGAGCTTGTCACGACTAGTCACATGCTTTCCACCTACAGAATTATGCTTTTCCCGCATTCCCTTTCATGTTATGATGGTCGCGTTATGATGGTCATAAAGAGAATCATAGAATCATTGCGAAAGATAACGTGAAATTGGAATGCTATTGTTTTGGGTTCCATTGAGAATGGATTGGTTTTGTGGATTCGTAAAGTAGCCTAAACTGGATTGGTAAAGTAAAAAAAAAAATGTAATCAATGCAAATCGCCAATTTATGAAATAATAAATGAGGTAAAATGTGTTTTAGATTGGATATTCGGTGGATATTCCGTTTTCTCTCCTCAATACCTATTGAACAAAGGATGCCATGACTATGAAGATGGTTTATTATATACAGTGCATGCGGAAAGTATTCAGACCCATTTACTTTTTCCACATTTTGTTACATTACAGCCTTATTCTAAAATTGATTAAAATAAAAAAATGTCCTCATCAATCTACACACAATACCCCATAATGACGAAGTGAAAACCTTTTTTTTTTTTTTTTTTGTCCACCTGTGGTAAATTCAGTTGATTGGACATGATTTGGAAAGGCACACACCTGTCTATATAAGGTCCCACAGTTGACAGTGCATGTCAGAGCAAAAACCAAGCCATGAGGTCGAAGTAATTGTCTGTAGAGCTCCGAGACCGGATTGTGTCGAGGCAAAGATCTGGGGAAGCGTACCAAAAAATGTCTGAAGCGTTGAAGGTCCCCAAAAACACAGTGGCCTCCATCATTCTTAAATGGAAGAAGCTTGGAACCACCAAGACTCTTCCTAGACCTGGCTGCCCTGCCAAACTGAGCAATCGGGGGAGAAGGGCCTTGGTCAGGGAGGTGACCAAGAACCCGATGGTCACTCTGACAGAGCTCCAGAGTTCCTCTGTGGAGATGGGAGAACCTTCCAGAAGGACAACCATCTCTGCAGCACTCCACCAATCAGGCCTTATGGTAGAGTGGCCAGACGAAAGCCACTCCTCAGTTAAAGGCACATGACAGCCCACTTGGAGTTTGCCAAAAGGCACCTATAGGACTCTCAGACCATGAGAAACAAGATTATCTGGTCTGATGAAACCAAGATTGAACTCTTTGGCCTGAATGCCAAGCATCACGTCTGAAGGAAGCCTGGCACCATCCCTACGGTGAAGCATGGTGGTGGCAGCATCATGCTGTGGGGATGTTTTTCAGCGACAGGGACTGGGAGACTAGTCAGGATCGAGGGAAACATGAACGGAGCAAAGTACACAGAGCTTCTTGATGAAAACCTGCTCCAGAGCGTTCAGGACCTCAGACTTGGACGAAGGTTCACCTTCCAACAGGACAACAACCCTAAGCACACAGCCAAAAAAAGGCAGGAGTGGCTTCGGGACAAGTCTCTGAATGTCTTTGAGTGGCCCAGCCAGAGCCTGGACTTGAACATCTCTGGAGAGACCTGAAAAAAGCTGTGCAGCGACGCTCCCCATCCAACCTGACAGAGCTTGAGAGGATGTGCAGAGAAGAATGGGTGAAACTTCCCAAATACAGGTGTGCCAAGCTTGTAGCGTCAGGCTGTAATCGCTGCCAAAGGTGCTTCAACAAGGTACTGACTAAATGGTCTGAATACTTATGTAAATGTGATATTTCCATTTTTTATTTGTAATACATTTGCAAAAACTTCTACAAACCTGTTTTTGTATTGTGTGTAGATTGCTGAGAAAAAAATACTATTTAATCCATTTTAGAATAAGGTTGTAACGTAAATAATGTGGAAAATTCAAGGGGTCTGAATACTTTCCGAAAGCACTCAACGTATTATTTGGGTGGGAAATAGATTTTTTTATTTTCCATCCTCCACTGATTCAGAATATATCATTTTCATAGTCATGGCACGCTTTGTGTAAGAGCTATTGAAGATTGAAAGCCCCCCCAAAATATATATATTTTTTAAATAAGCAGTGCATTTTAGTCCATCCTCTCCAGATTCAGAATATATCATTTTCATAATCATAGCACATTTTATGTAAGCGCTATTGAAGATTGAAAGCCCAAAAAATATATAATAAATAAACGTTTAAAAAAAGCCTGTGGATTTTTGTCCATCCTCCCCAGATTCAGAATAGATCATTTTCATAATCATAGCACATTTTATGTAAGAGCTATTGAAGATTGAAAGCTGACAAAAATATATACAAAAATTTCAACAACAACAAAAAGCTGTGGATATTTGTCCATCCTCCCCCAATTCAGAATGTCATTTTCATAGGCATGGCACGCTGTGTGTAAGAGCTACTAAAGATTGAAAGTCGCAGAGAATTATATGACATTTCTAAAATAAAAACGCTGTGGATATTTGTCCATCCTCCCTGATTCAGAATATGTAATTTTCATAGTGATGGTATTTTAGATTCAAATCTAAATGTCCCCCCCCAAAAAGCTGTGTTTTTTTTGTCCATCCTCCCCTTATTCAGAATATATCATTATCATAGTCATGGCATGCTTGGTTCAATAGCTATTGATGAGAGAGAACCGAATATCCAATATGAAACCAATTTTACCTTGGTGAAATTAAACAACAGTGACAGATCTGTTTAATACATCTGCGACAACAATTTTGTTTTTAAATGTGTGGATTTCATATAACTTGTTGCTAGGCTATTATATGATCTACATGGTTTACTCAGCAAATATTAACAGGCAACATAGCCTATGACGTCATGAAATATGAATAGTTTAGAAGGGTGCAATTGCGGCACGCAATTCGGGGCGTTCCTGTATGTGGGCATTCCTGCATTTGCAGGAACCCCACTTTATACTTCTATTGGTCCATTTTTAAACAGACTGGCGGTAATGCACAATAACATTGGATGCCAACCGGTTCCTTTGCCCCCGCTTGTAGGGCACTGTTTTCCTGCTGTTCTGTTAACAACAGCGAGGGTAGGTATTAGGCAAGCAGGAGCGAAGGACACTGTGTGCTAGTAGGCAGGATTGGTAGCTCGCTAGCAGCACACCGGTAGATGTGCAGATGATGGCTGAGAAACTGTGTAATCGTGTCTGTTGTATTTTGTTGCCAAAACAACAGAACATCAGTGGTGACTGATAACTCTTGTCAATAAGTACTTAGACTATGTTATCCTGCTGTTTTGTGGGTGGCCATAATTGAGGGATGCTTTTGGAAATGTTGCTGATGGTCTTACATTTACATTTTAGTCATTTAGCAGACGCTCTTATCCAGAGTGACTTACAGTTAGTGAGTGCATACATTTTTCATACTGGCCCCCTGCGGGAAACAAACCCACAACCCTGGCGTTGCAAGCTCCATGCTCTACCAACTGAGCTACAGGAGGTCTTGACCACAGATAGCCTGCTGTAGTTATGTGCTGGCATTAGGCCTGTAGGCACTAACCTGTGGGGGTTAGTCGAGACACTTTTGCAACAATAAAGTTTTACAACCTGTTCTCTGAAGATGACCAGAAGAATGGTCATTGATTTGGTTGATACATGCTTTATGGTTGAGATGTTAAAATGGACAGGAAAATAATGGATTGATATTAATAGAATATAAAAGGTCTTGCAGAAAAAAGCAATTGATTACATTTTATGAATTCCTTCAACATTAATTTGTTCAATCTGTGCTATTCAGTGCAACCCAGAGTTCTGAATCCCAGTGCAGTACAATGCAGCTATGTTTGAACAAGGAGAGCATTGACCACACTCAGATTAACAATTAGCTCTGGACAGTCCCTCCTCTCATATAGCGAAGCCTTAGCTCAGCTTAACCAGGCAATGAGTTTTGCTGGTGTTATATGAGAGTCCTCTAGACTGCACAAGGTTAGGGCTGAACAAGGGTGCCTAGTACTACCATCATGCTTATGCATTTCTCTCTCCCCCACTCTCAGTTTTACACTTCCAAACCAGTCTGATCATACATTCTCCCATAGCTGCAATTGAACATGGACATGCTTCTTGCACACATACTCTCCTACCCCCCCCCCAGTGCCAGGGCTACCACGCTCACACCCTACCCCTGCCCCGCAGAGCCCTGGCTGTCTTCAGACCCAGGTGAGTAACAGACAGGAGGAGTGAGGGAGGAAAGAGACACACAGGTGAGAGACAGGCATAGTGAGACAGAGACACTAGTGGGAGGGACCCTGGTATAGATTGATGTGTGTGAGTATTCCGGGTTAGCTGAGAGCTACAGGGTCCCACATGGGGGGGGGGGGGGGGGGGGGAGTGGTACACTGACCCCAACCCCCACCACCACCACCACCGTATGACACACAACTGTTACATACAAACACACTGGGTGGGGCATCGTGGCAGCAATAAATGATTGGATTAATGCTTGGGTAAGTCTCAATAATTTCTCTATGCGTGCCATGTGCGTGTGCTGCTGTGTGTGTCTGTGTTTGTGCTCTACCCGTGGTTCTGATATGTGTGTGTTTGTTTTGCCTGCAGTGTCTACAGCAGCCCTCAGGGATATAAGACTACCACAGTGGACAAACCTCACATGCTCAGAGCCACTATCAGATCCCGCCCCTCGGACTCCAACCAGTCTGGCCAGCAGCAGAGCCAGGACCAGCACCAGAGTCAGCCTTTCCAGCACCAGCAGCAGCGCAGACCAAACCAGCAGCAGCACCAGCCAAGCCTCAGCCCCAAGCTTCTCTACCAACCAAGCCTTCGTCCCAAGCCGGTCTACCAGCCAAGCCTCAGTCCCACTCCTGTCTATAGGAGACTCATAACCTGGCAGCACAAGGACAACACCAATACAGACAGCAACACCATCAAGACCAACAACAGCTCTCACAGTAACAGCATCAAGAGGTGAGTTTGAGCGTGAGAGAGAGACAGAAAGTTATTCTATATTATTGCAGTTGTATAGTGCATGTATCAAGTACTTACTTCATTAATATGTAATTTGATTATAGTTCTATAATGTTTAGAGAAAAGGGTATGTGATCTGAGTTGACAGAGGAAGGTTCCAAGAGGATTTCTATTGAGTTGATCCAAACAGGATTTGCAGCGTGTTGAGAATGATTATTGATTACTGAGTACCACTCTGTAATCAGACAGGTGGACATGACGTCCCAGAACGTGTTTGGTCAGCCACGTGTCCTGGCCTCGCTGCGGGGACCTCCCTCTCCGCGACAGACCCGCAAGACAACAAATCTAGAGGAGGAACTGAGGAGGCTCATCATACCGGACAACACATCAGAGGACTCAGGGAGGGATGCAGTAAGTTAGACACACACCTAGACACACATCACAGATGCACAGGTGTTAAATATTGTTCTAACATACTCAAATTCAATATGAGTACGAACCTTAAAGGTCCAATGCAGTCAAAAACGTGATTTTCCTGTGTTTTATATATATTTCCACACTATGAGGTTGGAATAATACTGTGAAATTGTGAAAATGATGATAATGGCCTTTTAGTGTAAGAGCTGTTTGAAAAGAACACCTGAAATTTCAGCCTGTTTTGTGTGAAGGAATTTTGGCCTGCCTGGTGTCATCACCAGGCGGTAAATTAGTTAATTGACCAATAAGAAAGAGAGTTCCAAACCTCTCTGCCAGCTAGTTTTCCGTTTTTCCATTCCACTTAGACCACTCCCAGACAGTCCTAGCAAAATTATTGCTTGAGAAATTGCTCTTTGCTAAGAAGCTATTTTCATTTCATTTTGACCATTTTAATTGAAAACAATCACAGTAAGGTACTTAATTGTTACCCAGAAATTATTTGATATTGAGATAAAAACCGCTGCATTGGACCTTTAAAGTTCAAGAATGTTCATTTACACATTTGACTGACCACAGCCCCTGTTCCTCCTGTCCTCTAGTACTGCCGTCATAGCCTCTCTACAGAGATCAGTCTAGACAGTGGTCCCCTGGACTATAGTCTTGCCTGTTCCCCAGTGTCTGACTGCCCAGGGTTGGTGGGGCTGGAGGACCTGTCTGCCTCTGAGCTGTCCCTGACAGAGGGCTGGGACTCTGGGCACATCCCCCTACCGGACCCTGCCGGGAGCCTGGAGTGGAGCAACCTAGTCAACGCTGCCAAGGCCTATGAGGGTAGGAGAGTATGTGTGCAAGAAGCATGTCCATGTGCCTGAGCTTGCCTATGAATGTTTGTGAGATGCATGGCATTTAAGACTAAATGAGAATATGCAGGGATTGTTGTGATGTCAGTGTATGGTGCATTTATTTGTAATGTTTGTAGCACAGAGGACAGTGGAGCCCATTCTCCCCAGCAAGCCCATTAAGCATGGATCAGAGGGTGGACCCGCTGCTTGCCCACCCAATTACTACACTCCTCATGTAGTAGCCAGAAAAGTGTTAAACAAATCAAAATATATTTTAAATTCTTCAAAGTAGCCACCCTTTGCCTTGATGACAGCTTGGCACACTCTTGGCATTCTCTCAACCAGCTTCACCTGGAATGCTTTTCCAACAGTCTTGAAGGAGTTCCCACATATGCTGGCTGCTTTTCCTTCACTCTGGGGTCCAACTCATCCCAAACCATCTCAATTGGGTTGAGGTCGGGTGATTGTGGAGGCCAGGTCATCTGATGCAGCACTCCATCACTCTCCTTCTTGGTCAAATAGCCCTTACACAGCCTGGAGGTGTGTTGGTTCATTGTCCTGTTGAAAAACAAATGATAGTCCCACTAAGCCCAAAACAGATGGGATGGCGTATTGCTGCAGAATGGTGTGTTGCCATGCTGGTTAAGTGTGCCTTGAATTCTAAACAAATCACTGACATTGTCACCAGCAAAGCACCATCACACCACCTCCATGCTTCACGGTGGGAACCACACATGTGGAGATCATCCGTTCAGCTACTCTGCGTCTCACAAAGACACGGCGGTTGGAACCAGAAATCTCACATTTGGACTCATCAGACCAAAGGATAGATTTCCACCAGTCTAATGTCCATTGCTCGTGTTTCTTGGCCCAAGCAAGTCTGTTCTTCTTATTGGTGTCCTTTAGTAGTGGTTTCTTTGCAGCAATTCGACCATGATGGCCTGATTCACGCAGTCTCCTCTGAACAGTTGATGTTGAGATGTGTCTGTTACTTGAACGCTGTGAAGCATTTATTTGGCCTTCAATTTCTGAGGCTGGTAACTCTAATGAACTTATCCTCTGCAGCAGAGATAACTCTGGGGCTTCCTTTCCTGTGGCGGTCTTCATGAGAGCCAATTTCATCATAGCGCTTGATTGTTTTTCTGACTGCACTTGAAGAAACTTAGAAAGTTCTTGAAATGTTCCAGATTGACTGACCTTCATGTCTTAACGTAATGATGGATTGTCATTTCTCTTTGCTTATTTGAGCTGTTCTTGCCATAATATGGACTTGGTCTTTTACCAAATAGGGCTATCTTCTGTATACCACCCCTACCTTGTCACAACACAACTGATTGGCTCAAACGCACAAATTAACTTTTAACAAGGCACACCTGTTAATTGAAATGCATTCCAGGTGACTAACTCATGAAGCTGATTGAGAGAATGCCAGGAGTGTGCAAAGCTGTCATCAAGGCAAAAAGTGGCTACTTTGAAGAATCTCAAATATAAAATATATTTTTGATTTGTTTAACACTTTTTTGGTTACTACATGATTCCATATGTGTTATTTCATAGTGTTGATGTCTTCACTATTATTCTACAATGTAGAAAATAGTAAAAATAAAGAAAAACCCTTGAATGAGTAAGTGTGTCCAAACTTTTGACTGGTACTGTATGTGTATATATATAAAAATCCCTCCAGTAGGAATCCACTATGAAGTGATGAATGGGACTCATAACTTCTGTCCTCCTTTACCTACACAACAGAAAGTTAATTGTTTAGAGACCTGCTGCTCTGTACATTGCCAGATTGTGTGGTCACATTCCTTCAAATTTCATAAATTCTGGTATGGAGAAGGCTGAGTAATAACTACCAGATTGTATTACCAGCACCGTGAATATACTTTAACCTGAGATGCCCAAAGTCAAGTAATAAAAACTTCTAAAGGACTACTAAGTACACTTAGTTTGAGGGCACAGTGGCCTTGACTTTAGATTATGAAAAACTGAGCTACACAATGTGATTTTTACTGTTGATTTGTTCAAAGAATGAATGTTATATTTTTAATAATCTAAAATACTATATTGTGTGGTATCTAAAATAAATGTTCACTTGTCTCAAATAACTCAACAAAGTAGTAATAACAATTTAAGAAGTTTTATTTACAGAACATACACAAAATGACCAAAAGTATATGGACACCCCTTCAAATTAGTGGATTCGGCTATTTCAGCCACACCCGTTGCTGACCGGTGTATAAAATCGAGCACACCGCCATGCAATCTCCATACACAAACATTGGCAGTAGAATGGCCCAAGAGCTCAGTGACATTCAACGTGGCACTGTCATAGGATGCCACCTTTCAAAGTCAGTTTGTCAAATTTCTGCCCTGCTAGAGCTGCCCCGGTCAACTGTAAGTGCTAATATTGTGAAGTGGAAACGTCTAGGAGCAACAATGGCTCAGCCGCGAAGTGGTAGGCCACACAAGCTCACAGAACGGGACCGCCAAATGCTGAAGTGCGTAAAAATTATCTGTCCTCGGTTGCAACACTCACTACTAAGTTCCAAACTGCCTCTGGAAGCAACATCAGCACAATAACTGTTTGTTGGGAGCTTCATGAAATGGGTTTCCATGGCCAAGCAGCCACACACAAGCCTAACATCACCATGCGCAATGCCAAGCGTTGGCTGGAGTGGTGTAAATCTGGATTTGTCGGATGCCAGGAGAATGCTACCTGCCCAATTGCATAGCGCCAACTGTAACGTTTGGTGGAGGAGGAATAATGGTCTAGGGCTGTTTATTCATGGTTCGGGCTAGGCCCCTTAGTTCCAGTGAAGGGAAATCTTAACGCTACAGCAAACAATGACATTCTAGACGATTCTGTGCTTCTAACTTTGTGGCAACAGTTTGGGGAAGGCCCTTTCCTGTTTCAGCATGACAATGCCCCCTTGCACAAAGCGAGGTCCATACAGAAATGGTTTGTCGAGATCAGTGTGGAAGAACTTGACTGGCCTGCATAGAGGCCTGATCTCAACCCCATCTAACACCTTTGGGATGAATTGGAACGCTGACTGCAAGCCAGGCCTAATCGCCCAACATCAGTGCCTGACCTCACTAATGCTCTTGTGGCTGAATGGAAGCAAGTCCCCGCACCAATATTCCAACATCTAGTGGAAAGCCTTCCCAGAAGAGTGGAGGCTGTTATAGCAGCAAAGGGGGGACCAACTCCATATTATTGCCCATGATTTTGGAAAAATATGTTTGACAAGCAGGTGTCTACATACTTTTGGTCATGTAGTGTATTCACATCAGTAAAGAAAAACATTCAACTGCTTAATGTAATGGCCTTTCCCCGCTCATAATCACTTAAACTATATTGACGGCTGTTTGCAGGTGGTGGACTGCAAAGTGATACTAGAATAGCTAACATTACCACATACTTTTGGCCATTAAGCAATAAGGCCCGAGGGGTTGTGGTATATGGCCAATATACCACAGCTAAGGGCTGTTCTTAAGCACGATGCAAAGCGGAGTGCCTGGATACAGCCCTTAGCTGTGGTATGTTGGCCATATACCACAAACCCCAGAGGTGCCTTATTGCTATTATAAACTAGTTACCAACGTAATTAGAGCAGTAAAAATAAATGTTTTGTCATACCCGCAGTATATGGTCTGATATACCATGGCTGTCAGCTAATCAGCATTCAGGGCTCGAACCACCTAGTTTATAAACATATTTTGACACCATGCATTGAAACACTTCAGCAAACTTAAATTCTCAATTTGAATAACTCAATAAACAGTAAGACTTCGGTTCTTACCTGCCTGGTAAAATGTTACTTTACACAATGTGTAATATAGAAACAAAGACATTCCACATATTAATAAATTCAGTGTTTATAAATAGGTAATAAATAAATCTGTCAGTTCATGGTGCAAGTGATAGTTTTGTGCTACATACTGTGTAGTCTGGAATGTATTTGGTCCTTTGCATTATGATCATAAATACAGTGATGAAATAAACGTCAAAACGATATGACTAGTAAAACACTGCCTTGGCATTATAACCCATGGGAAGACCTCACTTAATGTAAATACAAAACTCCCTACAAAAATGGTCATCAATGATATCTGTAAAACCAAGTTTGAACATTTTGTATAAATAACTTTCAACTTGAAGTAGAAAACAATAAGTAACAGTTGAAATGGGGTGCGCTAGACACAGAGATTAAGTCTCTGCGTTTGAGAATATAATTTAATCTCCAAAGAACTCCATAATTAACTCATACAGTAAGACTCTTAAATAAACAGTGTTGTTGATTTGAATCTGGACACAGATATAAATATGGACATCCAATGCTAGGTGCATATGGTCAGTGAAGGGTCAGTGTGAGGAGGTAGCTTCTCTAGGAGCCTCCTCTGGATGCAGCACACAGGTCTCTCTGGGCCAGCAGCATGTGGAGGGGGCTGGGTACGCAATCCTCTTCCTCCCTGTCTCCCTCTCCCTCCACGAACTCACTCCTTACGTTTCAGTTCTGCTGGCGGCTGAAGCGACAAGCCTTCAGACTGAGAGAGAGAGATAAAGCAAACACACATTCCTCTATGAAACTGATTAAGCACATCCTCTCATTACCAAACTACAATATCAGAGTACAGAGACCAACACAGTGGTTGGATACTGACCAGTAGACACGCCTCTCCTGCTTGGGCATGACGTGCCACAGGCTGGCCAGCTCCTTGGTGACCATGGTAGACGGGGTGCCAGCGTGAGTGCTGTTCAGAGACATGGCAGCCGTCTTAGTTACAGACACACAGAGGTACAGTACATCCAGCTGAAACACAGGGTTATGGGGTGTGACGACCCTCCCACTCTGTCTGCCGTATTCTCTCTCTTTGCTCTTGTTTCCTTATTAGGATGCCGGTGGGCGGAGTTGGGAGGGTCGTCAGCTACATGGGAAACACCTGGGCCCGGGTGTGTCCCAGGATAAATGGACCTCATCCAC